AGTGTTGGCCCGAAGCAGAGAAGCATATTAACTTCTCAGCATTTTAAATCAGTAAAAGAACTACGATCAAACCCTGATATTGTCTTGTTAAAACCTGATAAAGGATCAGGCGTAGTTATCATGAATAAATGTGATTATAAAAGTAAGATGTTATCTATCCTTAGTGATGAAAGTAAATTTATGCCTGATGTTGAATTTGGAGGTATCAGCAAACTAGAAAGAAGAGTAAATTCAAACCTGGAAAAATTGCTTCTCATGAATATTATTAATAAAGAGGAATTTAACTTTCTAAAACCTATGGGTTCCGAGTACCCTCATTTATATGGACTGCCTAAAACTCACAAACCTAATGTTCCATTACGTCCAATTCTATCAATGTGCAGATCACTTACACATAATCTGGCTAAATGGTTAGCAAAGTTGTTGGATCCTATTCGAAGACATCTATGTAAGTTTTCTCAAAAGGATTCTTTTGAACTGGTTGATCATTTAGATGATATTAATATCAAGGAAAAGACAATGTGTTCATTTGATGTAAATTCCTTGTTTACAAATGTACCTTTAAAAAAAACCATTGATATATTATGTGATTACATATCTGAAAACAATCTTCAATCACGTGTACCTTTAAAACTTCTTAAACATTTACTATTACTATGTACTGACAAAGTTCAGTTCACTTTTGAAGGTGAATACTTTCGTCAGATTGATGGAGTTGCTATGGGTAGTCCGCTAGGACCATTACTAGCAGATGTGTTCATGGCACATGTTGAAAATCAGACTGATGAATTAATCGGAAACATGTCACTTTATAAGAGATATGTGGACGATATCTTAGTTGTTTGTGAGAAAAAAGAGGATATGTACGGTTTATTAAATAAACTCAACACTCTCCAAAACCATATTAGTCTCTCATGTGAAGAGGAGAAAAACGATCAGCTTCCCTTCCTAGATATACTCCTGAGTAGACGAGAAGATGGTTCAATAAAGCGATCTATCTTTAGAAAACCAACGTGGACAGGTCAATATCTTAGTTATTATAGTTATTGCCCTATGCAATACAAACGTGGTTTGATAAGGTGTCTTTTCAACAGACTCAACCGTATTTGTACCAATGACGCCATTGATGATGATGTTAAGTTGTTAAATAAAACGTTAATAGAAAATGGCTATCCTCTGAAATTCATAAATAGATGGAAAGTCCATGGTACAGCGAGACCTACTGTAGCCTCGGTAGGGAAAAAGCTTGTCTACATCACCTTACCATTCAGAGGTGATTCAAATAGCCTTTTACTGAAACAACGTCTTAAATCAGTCATCAATAAAACCTATTGCGCAGCAAAGGTCATCATCAAAGAAAGAACAAAGTGTATGCTTCATTCAAAACCTAAAGTACATGGAAACGATTACGTCACATCCCACTGTGTTTACCAATTTAAATGTGTGTGTGGTCACACATACATAAGGAGGAGTAATCGTGATCTCAACATTAGGGTGAGTGAACATGTACCCAAATGGCTTCAGAAACAAATACAATCAAGTGACCCAATAAGAGCAGAGGATAAACATCCATCATCCTCTATTGCTAAACATATAATTGAAACAGGTCACAAGATTGATCTAAATTCAGCTTTCGTAGTGCTGTATAAAAGTGTAAAAGGGCGTATACTAAGGTTCATTGAAGCCTTAGCCATACGAAAATTCAAACCCCCTTTATGTGTTCAAAAACAGTTTGTTCTTACCTTAAACCTACCCTGGTAATATTGACTTATTATCCAGAGTGATTAGGTTTCGCTTTGTGTTCACATTATTATTATTATTATTAATTATTATTAATTATTATTATTATTAATCATTAATGGCTTTATTCAATATTATATTTTGGTACAATATAGAATTCTCAGCACAGGGTATTTCAACAAGTTACTTACTGAGAAACGAACAAAAAGGCATTAGCAAATACAAAAAGAAATAATAAAAAATTTTTTAAAAAAAAACAAATTTAAAAAAAAAACCAAAAAAAACTGTGCAAACTTTTTAAAATTAAAGACATGTTAAGAATGTAAGTTGTCGACTAGGTTAACTCTAACAACCTGTTCGTCACAGAGTATATTTGCTAGGTAAGGTATTATAGAACTTTTATACTTTTCCTTACGTGCATGGATTTTAATGTAATTACGTCTCGTTCTACCAGAAGATATACAAGGAGAAAGATAAGAGTGAAGGGGATGGCTAGTATCTGATAAAATAACACCTGCCAGGAGTTTGCATGATTTTAAATGTCTATCCACAACCATATTAATTATGGCCTCGAAAGATTCACCACAAATCTTGCTAACTGCCTTCAGCACTCTTCGCAATGCAGCAAAGTCTTTTCTCAAAAGCCCGGGAAAGAATAATGGAGAACAGTAAAGAATAATAGGTAAAATGCAAGAATTGACAAATTGTAAGAGTAAATGACGAGTAATCCCAAGAGCATGCAATCTCTTTATGTAGTAGGTCAGACGGAAAACCTTCTTCGATAACGATAAAACGTGGGAAGACCAAGACAGATCAGAGGAAAAGGTGACACCAAGATAATTAACCTTCGACACTGAGTTTATCAAAGAGTCTCCGATGGTACAAGCATTATGGGAACTCAAAATAGTGTTTATATTCCGTTCATGTCTCATGCTAAAGTTAACAGCTTGACATTTAGACGGATTAAGTATGAGACCATTACCAACAGACCAACAATCAATACGAGACAAAAACTCATTCATTTCTATGGGATGTAAAGAGGAAGATATAGGCATACATACAGTGAGATCATCCGCATACTTCACAAAAGTGTTTTCTGTGGAAGATGGCAGGTCATGCATAAAAAAAGAGAATAGAAGAGGTGAAAGAACAGCTCCTTGTGGTACACCTTCCTGAGACAGTAGAGACTTCGAACACTTTCCTCCAAACACAGTGTACTGTTCCCTTCCAGAGAGGTAGGAAAATAGCCAGTTGGTTATCCAGCTGTCAGTGTTGACGCTGATTAACTTGTTAAGTAAATGTTGTCTTGATATAGAGTCTAAAGCTGAAGTATAGTCCAGAAAAGCACAACGAACATACTTCTTACCCTTTTCTAAGTTGAACACTATGTTGTGGTGCAGAACTGCAACAGCATCTAAAGTGCTTCTTTTGCGCCTGTATGCAAACTGGTATGGGTCAGTATGCTCTTTTATCGCAAGCTGAAGTGGAAGTATTAATAATTTTTCCATGGTTTTGAGGAAGGGTGAAGTTATTGCAATAGGTCTAAATTTTACATTCTTATCACCAGATGCTTTCTTGGGTACAGGAATTATCTTCATCTTTCTCCACATTTTCGGTATGAGATTAGATGAGAAGGATCTGTTGAATATAGTTGTGAACGGATGACACAGAACGTCAGCACATTTTTTAAAAAGGATGTTTGGGATACCATCAGGTCCCAAACATCGAGATGAATTAAGCGACCGGAGACATCCTCGTACATCAGTTTCAGTGAAAGTAGGAACACAGCTATTTTTTAAACCCGTGGATAGAGGGAGCATCACATCAGATGACTGACGAACAAAAGACTTATTTAAGTCACAAACATTCAGCTGGTTATCGCTTCTAAACTGTCTGTCACCTGTAAGTTCTTTAAAGAGTTTCCACATACTTGGAGAGTTTTTGCAAGATAAGAGCTTTTGAGTAAACATACAGTTGAGACGTCTAATCTCTAGGTTTATCAGACCATTTAGCTTACGAACTTCATTAGAGTTCTTCTTCTTGTACATTCTTTCTTTCATCCTTCGTAGTCGTTTTAGTTGTGTAGATGTAAATCGATCAAAACTTACAAAAATGGTTTCAGTGGGACAGCAAATATCAAAACAGAATTTAAGGTAACAAGTGATAACATCAGTAGTGTTTTCGAGTGAGTCATCTGTAAATAATTCCCAGTTAGTCTTATGAAACATGCTTTTCAGATTTTGGATATTTTCTTCTGAGTAATTCCTATATTTGACTTTCTTGGTTTGACGTAAGAGTGTACTCTTCTCATGCTTTCCATATACTTTAGGTAGAACACGAATTATACAGTGATCTGAGCTAGACAATGGAGCACGTTTACGAGTCGCATATATACCCACATCATTAATGAAGACAAAGTCTAGATAAGCATCCAAACGGGTAGGAAAATCCACTACATTTTGGTGACCTAGTGACGTAAGGAAGCTACAGTCACATGAATTGAAGTCACCACATACAACTGAAAGTGAATCACTGAAGGCAGTAAGAGCGAACTCAGTGAATTCATCAGCAAAAACAGATAGTGCAGATGATGTGCAATCTGGAGTCACGTAGATATTGGTAACATAAACATATTTGTATTTATTTAGATGTTTTGGACGACATCTTAGAATTAGACAGTCGTAGGTCGTAGGCTTTTCATAAAAGCGCCTGAATAGGTTATGCGATTAATGGACATAATTATAAATTAAAACAAATAAAAAACAGATAACTTGTTGAAATAATCAGATGGCAGAAACAGGTAGCCCAGATATTCAAGCAGGCCGTCATTATCCTTATCTCCTCTTACCCCATTTCCTGTCTAGTTGACCTTTTATTTTTATATATAAATGCTCTTAACAAGTATATGTGTGATCAGATTGTTCGAAATGTATTGCGCAAATATATCACATAGTTCTGATAATCTTCGTCTTCTCATTGCATTATCGAAACTTCAGTGTGTGTTTCTTTCAAATCTCTCATCTTATTACCAATGCTACGACAGAACTGTTACTAGTTCATCATTCACTTTACATCTTTTTTCCAATCATACCTGAACGGATATTTACAGTGGAGTCTTGGCTGATTTCAATGGTCACATAATCATGTATACACGATAGTGTTAATTGACAAGTGCAATGTAGTAAACTCTTATGAAATTACCCATGTTTGTATTGAATGAAAACAATGACATAAATACAAAAAATTATATTTTAATATTCTCCCACCAAAGTGACATCAGTCATTACATAAACAATCATCAATGTGACAGGCGGTTGCATGAAACAATCTTCAATGTATTGGAATGATTAACAGAATAGAAAGTGTGTTTACTTAACTACAAAATGAAAATAACAAAGTGAACTTGATAAAAACAATTGACACGCTGTTTGTGGGGACTATGGATAAACTCTCTTCCTTCTGTGGAACCATAGCCAAATACCACAACCAATGCAAACAATAAGGAAAGATATAACTAATGGTACAACGATATACACGTATTGCGGTGATTTTCTTTCCCCTGTGTCTTCAATTGTATCTGTGGTCATGTTCTGAAATGAACGAAATGGTATAATGATTACAAAAATATCAAATATCTACCAAATGTGATTCAGTGCTTGGATTAGTCTTCTTCAATTCATTTCCTAGATCAATTTCAGTAGTTGCTAGAGCTGTTGGTTCAGTGGAAACATTGACAATAGAGAATCACTACACATTCTATGAGCTAAAGAATTAACATCTTTCCAGGTATTAGTGTTAAACAACTCTTCTATTCATTGTTGAATGTCCACATGGAAATAAAGCATTGCATTCATATGTGCTTCAATATCGTATAAGTTACTGTGATTTATGCACTTGTGGTACACTAGAATTCACTACTAATTCGTAACAATATAAATGTTCTTCCGAAAAAAATAAGGATTGCAATATGGAATATTGTAATATTAAGAACAATCTTTGAGGTCTACTAATTGCTTACTTTAATCTGGCAACCATTTACTTTTAAGTCATGAACGTCCTTATCATTGCTAGTAATGCATGCATTGGCTTTCTCACACCAAATACACATTGTATTTGATGTTGGTGCGTCATGACATGCTGCAGTCGAATTGTGTTTTGGACAATCTTCAGTGAAAAGAAGACGAAGGTGATTGCATTTCAAGTTGTCAAACAAAAGATAAATGAATTACAAAAACAAATGTAACTATAACTCAATAAATATTTCATTCTCTGGGCATTTGTCATCACATTGCTCAATCCGAAATTCAATACACTTTCAATGTCATTCACATTTCCTGAAACACGTTGCCTGTTGAACGATGAAATTTATCAGGCGAATGTCACGGATGTCAATGACTGTTAATATTAGAAAAGAAATGCACACGCTAGACGATCAACGAAACTCGTTCCTGCTTCATGATTGAAATGTTTCCTGTATGCCATGTTTTCATAAGCAAAATAGAGAATAACATTGTTATTTCTTTCTAACTGACTATTTAGAAGCCGATGCACGAACGTCAGTTGTACTGAGAGAGAAAATTTATTTTGCATTATGTTCATTCAATCGAACAACAAAGGAAGTGTGACATTGGTTGTCAATTCATTGTTGAGATTTTCCTTGAAGAGATTTCCGTCAACCTACAATGGTATAAAGTTTCAAACTGTGTTGCTACATTCTACTTTGTGTGTAATCAGTTAGCATGTTAGACTAGTTGGATCATGAAAATTCGTCGACAATGAATAATATTCTAGTCAAGGAATATTGAAGTCAATCTCGACATCAGATTATGGGATGATTCTCTGTGTTATTGAAATATTATTTCAATAGTTTAATACATGATGAACAAAACAATGTTTGTAGTTATTCACTGTACGTATTCAGGAAAAGGGAAACGCTTCCATACTGTGAAAACCCTCAGTGTTTTTGATACTGTACAAATATTTACTGACTATGATAAATTGAAATTTGAACACGTGATCTTTCTACTCCTTCAATCTATCGAATGAGTAGGATAAAGTAAAGATTTTGGAAATTAAGTCATTGTTTCCAAGGCAATTACAGTTTCATGAAATGTTTGTTCAATGTCAATTCCACGGTGAAATTCGATGTTGCATGTACCAAATAAAAATCAAATAACTGACTGATATCATCTCATCCATCGTCTTGCGACATTTTTTTCAAGTTAATTTCATCAAACTGAATACTTCTATTGTAGTTCAAAATGTGTCTATAATCATTTTAAATATTCAACAGTCAGTCGTTGTTTGGTGTAACGTCATTTGAGACTGATGGCTCGATATCATTAAATAACTGTATGAAATCATACATGAAATTTCCAATTTTATGAAATAGAGGTGATGCATTCAAGTGTGAAAATAGTGAACTCTGATAAAATAAGGTTTGACATACCCCCGAGAACTTCATATTCCACTAGTGTTCCATTTGTGATCCATTCAGAAGGAACAACTGCCTGAGGCCCTTTATAACCTAATGTAATTAATTGAACAGAAGAAGACAGTTGAAATTCGGATTTCCATTTTCAATATAATATGTTGTCTGTTCTGATCAAAATAAGAAATTGATTATTATCTGGTTACAGATACAACGAAGGTCAAATAACAACCTTATGAAATATGCTCTAAATCGCCTAAAATTCTGAAAGTGACCGATGTTCAACCACTAACTGAAAAAATGATATGGTCAAATTCCTGATTTGTATCACTAAAATGTCAGTGCAACATAAACAGAAATAATATGTTTATCTCGTTACAAATTTTTTCAGAAATAGTCAATAGTGAGAGGCTACAAGTTTGACTGTCCATTAGTGGGTGAGTGAATAAATGAGTAGATATATCGTCTGTCTATTATTCTCGTTCATTTATTCCTGTCTGGATCGTTAAGACTATACAGAAGACTTCTCCAAATATCTATCCGCAAATTCGTGATGGGGACATTTACACATCTTAGTTCTATTACTCAGTATACCAAGTAAGGCAAGCGTCAGATGACGTGGATCTTGAAATTCATTTTGATGGAGCTTAGCATAAAAAGATAAAACAATACAATTCCGATTGAATCACAACAACTCAAATCTGCTTTGCTCTATGAACGAGGATGACGATTGTTGAATTGAGGATATGGATATTTTGGTATCAATTCGAAAGACAAAATATTTTCAGGATGAATTTCGATTATGAATTTTTATTACATGTGACACTTGAATGTTGATTCAAGATTTCTAATCACCAAATTGACGTTGAATTTTCAATACACAGTAACATTAGGACAATGAGTTTGCCTAAATTATTCAGATTCCATTTCACACAATTTTCCTCAGAACTTCAACGACACTTCCATCGCTTTATTGTACAAACAAAAACCAACTGTATATTGTGGACTGTAAGAAACACAAATTTGGTCACCATTATAAATTACAGAAAACTTCCACGTTGACATAGTGATGATCGTGTACAAACAGTAGGTAACATCATGCTAACATATAAATAATCATGTAATTCAATGTAAATTAGAAGGTAGACAACGTTTGTTACCTTCAATCCCACACCAGATATAATAATTAATCCTCGACAGAACAACATTTCCCTTAAGTCCTCTAGGAATCTGAAAAGAAGTAATGGAAGTCTGAGTCAAGATCTGTCAATACACAACCACCTATATCAAAACCAACCAAACATTGAAGCAATGTGTCGTCATTCATATTATCTTATTCGAAGACAACTAAATACACTTACAGTAAGCTTACTGATCTCCTCGGCTCCCTAAGAAATATACTCCATCTAATTTACGAAGATATTCTGACTCACCTCAGTTGACAACTTCAGTGAAGTTCGGTGAACGATCTCTTTATCATGGAATGAGGCTATACATAATAAGATGAACATCTACGTCCGTTGGTAGAAGTATGATTGTGAATAACTGCAATGTCGCTGAAGGTGAATTTGTTGTTCTGTTGTGGAATTGTGTTTATGTGCCTACTTATATCAATTGCCGTTCATTTCTCAACAGTATTCATTCCACAATTTATTCTGATTACCTCCAAACAAACAAGACGGATTGACTGCAACACTCATAAAATTTATCATCTCACCAGCCATTTCTAGTCATCCAATATTTATTGTATTGCAAATCGATCAAGTTGTAAATAGTGACATTCGAGCAAATAGAATCTGATAAGCAATCAGGATTTTAACAAAATCTCTGTCTTGAAATATTCCATTATGAACTTTTCTCACAACTGGTCTATGAAAGTCTGAAAATCACCGTTCACGTACAGAATTCAGACAAACACTCTTTGCCCTTGATTGGCTCGAAGGTATCAGAATGTGTTTACATATTACATCACTTCCTTGTTGTTCATTATTTTAAAAAGTGCCAGAATAAACTGTGACATGAACGTATTGTGAATAGTTTCATAAGGTCTATATTCACAATACAAAATGTTGGTGTCCTTTTATCCTTTTCAATATCTTTCGATGTATTTGACAGTACTGATATGCATGAATAATCTATTCATGTGCTCAACTTACGTTCTCATAATAGAAATGTATCTTCCCATTCGAGTGTATCAGCTGTATTGCCTTCAATATATAATCTGCAAAAAAGAAGATTATCGATATTTAAAATTTCAAGGATTAGTGTCGAGCATGTCATTGCTAGATGTGACATTGTATGTGTCTACACACACAGGGGGTTCAGATTTTAGCAGATATTTACTGTGTTATCTCAAATGTTTTCGTGATGAAAATAATCTCGTGAATGTTGTGTAGATGAAATAAGCATGTATCCTTCATCATGAATGTCAGATGCTTAGTTTGTTTAGTTTTCATATTCAAACAATAAATCATCTAGTTCCTAATTAGATCTGATAGTTGGAGTGGTATTCAAATTGGTGGAATATTTCTTATATTTCAACTGATACAATTGACTTAAGGTGCAAATGAAATGAGCTGCGGTTTGTTTGTTTGTTTATAATTCGAGTTTTAGAATTTATTTAGTAACGTAACACATTGATATATCAGTCGATCAAATGACTTTGTCCACATTATGTGTTAAAGATGAGAATTGAATATGCCTAATACATATTGTTTTAACGATCTCTTAATTTGAAAGAATAAAAGCTGAGAATGATCGCGTAATGATTGAATATCCAGATGAATGTGGTGTATACAGAAATGATTTTCCGATGAACACATATGTACAGACTTGTCATCATGTTCCTTTGAAACCTGTCAATGAAGATGAATCTCTGTATTCGTTTATGTACAAATGAAATGAGAATATGACCTAATGTATCCAAACGTATGTTAATTATTCTTTAAGGTTCAATAAAATATGTATGGACAATCTATGGATTCTATGTGTATTTAGCCTTTGATTTTGTAGAATGGTTACACTGTAATACTTTCGTCATTTTTTTAAAGACGAATCCAATTACTCAAACGGAATAGAAAACAGTTGAGTAATATCATTCAGTGATGATCATGATCTAAGTGTTAATAGTTCACATGTGATCAAACAATCATGGATGTGGGTACATACTTTTATTATCAATGTTTGTATGACAAGACCTTCTGACAGCAAAATATTTCTCTGAAATAATGAAAGTAAAATAAATTTGCGTTCATGTATCTGTAAAATGAACAATGACCTCTTTCAATAAAAAAAAGTGTTTGAACACAAGTTATGATGTTCCTTTTCAAGATTGAAGTGAACCAATTCAACTCAATGAGAGTCTCAATGATCTGCATCATTATTTCACCGATATGATGAACGTTTAAATCCAATCAACTAAGAGAAATATTATACTTCTGAAATATTGGGCTTGTAAGCGTTTGACTACCTAAACCACCATTAATATCTATTCAACAATAAACATACATAAACATTTTGTGAAATAATGATATTTCAATTGAACAGTGTTCTCTTAACTTAACTCATTATTGCCCGGAAATGTTACCCCGATGACATTAATTTCGGTAAGTGAATAATATGAATACCCTCCATCTTGATATTCTAGGTGTTCTAGTTCGAATCAATCATGTTGTACTAGCAGATTATTCGTGATTGTTAGCTGATTTGATGTTTGAGATGGTACATGCGTTCAAACTTCATGATCAACCTATTATGATTATCAAGAATGTGTTTAATATCCAATAGTTCGACGGCAGTGAATAAGAGGGACTAAATTTATAAGAAGCAAGTAAGTGACAGAAATATTTGGACGACATCAAATATAAATTATTGATGGTTCATGTGCTTCAATAATTCAAACTGATTTCTCACACAACATTGCTTATTGTTGCATCTGTGATCAGCTAGATTCGTTCAATCTACCAATAAGTGTCGTATTGATGAAATATCAGTTTTATGGTAGTTTGAACAGATTGAAGAGTAGATAATTTCCGCCTAACCAATTACATTGAATGGTTCATTATTGTCACTCAATCAATTTGTGTCTATTTTGAAGTGAATCACTGTTTTATTTAACATTTTCCCTTCACAGTAATGAATTCATGTTGTGAACACAGTTTAGGGCATGAAATCACACAAATAAAATAATCACTGTGTACTGACCAGCTCTCATGAAATAATCAAGTTAAACATCGAATTGTTTATGCAAAATAAAAATGAGTAATGTTAAACATAAAACAAACAAAACTTCACTGAATAATAGTAGAACTCACCCCCATTCAAAATCTCATTTTCACACACAAAACTGTCGTTGATATAATTTGCAATTCCTCTATAATCATCTGTTACTTCCACATAAATTTCATCTGTGTTTATCAAATGAAAATACACAATTTGATTAATAATCTATAGTGAATAAATGAAACACTTTGAAATTCACTGGAGACTGGAATGAATTGCATGAACAATAATTAGTTTACTACAACGGTACAACTTGAACAAGAAAATACATTAGTAGATGTATTGAATGTGAAACAAAAATGCCTAAAACTGATCTATTGAAGTAATGAAAGCCACTTTGATTCATGGAATTGAAATGTGAGCAAACAAAACTTTAATTCAAGGAAAATAATATTCTTACCGCGAGCATCTATATATACTGAGTAGAAATGAGCACCGTAAAATTTAAAGGGGAATTTCAGTTTTATTTGCTAGAAATATGCAAACATATGGATTATCATCTCCGTTGGAAAATGTCGTTAACTCACCTTCTCACCATCCAATTTTTCAAAATTTTCACTAACAATTGGAGAGGGCTGATTAGAACGAATGAACTGGGAATAGTGATAATAATGAGACTGAATATTTGTAATGCAACTTGACTGATCACTTACATATTTATGTGTATCACTTTGGGAAATTATTTTTGCTTGACTAAGTAAATCAGCGTCTTCACAAAATTCATGACAGTCGAAAAATTCCCATGTATGGACAATGATTGAATAAATCGTTATCAACTGACCAAATGAAAACGTAGATCTGAAATGGTTCAAATGAATAGAACAATGTTATCTCATTAGATCAAATTGAAATGGATGTAATACAATCATTTGACTTAAGTATACAGTCAATACTCACATCATTTTCTCGTTTAAGACGTTGATAGAACGTGTTGAGTCTTATATAGAATTTTTTGGAAGTGTTTGTACGTTTCTTTCAGATTGGATGATTCAAATTGACCATTAAGGTGATGAAATTTCATAAAATCATTACATTATTATTAAACAATCGTAGTCTTACAATAGTCTTACACTTATTGAGGTAATATAGTCTGATATTGATCCATAATTAATTGAAATTCCTGATCCCCCGACTATTGATGAAAACTATTTTGTATAGAATTAACACTATTTTAAACTAAGTAATTAGTGCTCATATTTTCATGAACAACCATTGTGTGTTACTTGTAATCAACTATGAATTGGTTGTCAACGGTGCATAGCTTTGATTGGATTGGTTAATATCAAAGTAGCACACACTGATTTCATTAGATGACCAAAATTCACATTTTTATGTTTAAATTTTATTTCAATAAAATGAATTCTTTCACTGGTTGAAATGATGGATCAATTGAAGCTAGATCACTATTAAAAACCTAGAAGCACTTGACGGCCGTTAGTCAGCAGTGCGCATAAACGATCTCGCCCTCCACGAGATCCGTACCCAGGACCTATCAGTATCTCGCACGAGCGCCTTAACATTAGATCACTGAGCAGGTCAGCATCTAACGACGTTCACGTCTAACTTCAACCAATCCACGAAGTTGCGCCACCGTCATCATTGTCTTCAGTGAGTTGATATCTGATAACAGACCTGGTTGAACTCCAATGGTAGTGGATTCTCACTAGAACTCCATGAGTGTCACTTGATGTCAGTCACTAGTGAGCACATGATTATTATCTGAAAGGGTTTCATGCACGCGACACTGATAGGTCCTGGTTTCGAATAACACGGTGGAGAGAGATCGTGGATGTGCACTGCTGAGGAGCCCCTTACTAAGATGAATCGGCCGTCTAGAGCTCGCAGGTTTTCCATGGTGGTCTAAATTCAATTAACTCATGGTTACGATCAGTAGAGTGAATAACAGTCTATACGTTCGTAAATCACTAATCATTTCATTAGAAAAAGACAACAATATTTATGTTTTGATTAAATATGAAAATAGTGATTTTCGGTACTATGAAAGTAAATTGTGCAATTGAAAAACAGGTTGATAATAACTAAACTAATATTTCCTTGATTATTTCAACCTGTAATTGACTAAAAGTTTGTTACACAAGTATGGGTTGGCAGTCAACTCTGACAAATGTGAGTTCGGAAAACAATCCCTCACGTTTTTAGGTCATGTACTTGAATGTATGAAAATAACAAACTATTTTATCATTTCAAAGTTACTGTCTCAATTAATATTCATTGAACCGTAGATAACGTGGCTTTATGAAGTGAATTATCACGAGAATTTTTCAATTTTCAAACCTACTTCATACAAACACCACAAACCTGTATATCGTATGCAGTGAGGAATAAGATTTGCGAAGACAATTGCGAATTCTATCTGGATCATCCCATTGAATATAACATAACACCACGTCCTATCAGCATTTCGCTTTACATCCGATAACATTTTCAAAGTAAAATTGATTGCTACTTCTTCAATCTCAGTGTCAACAACGTGTTTGTCTAATGAACAAAAACATATTTGTGTTGACCTCTTTCTTGTTTATGATTATACTTTGTTTATCATTGATCACCTCAGTCTATCTCATTAATCAAAAGATAATATGGTATTCTCTATTGTGTATCGTGGGTGTCATATGAATGTTGTTTGTTTATTTGACTGACATCAAAGATGAGTGAAATTCTCATTTTACATATAATTACTACTTTGCTAAAAAGAAGATGAAGTGAAAGCACATGTTCTGGTTGTCAATTCATAAATGGTCTTGCTTCAGCTATGAATAAACTTTTCAATCATCGACTATATCCGTTGTATTGTTCAACTAACTTCATGTTTTATGATAAGAATAAGTGTTTTTGTGATTCCTGTTTTCTCACACTCCTGGTAGATTTACATACACTGGATGAGTTGCAAAGCGTAAAACATAAAGTGTATCTCTCAGGAGTAAGAAACGAAGATGGAGAGAGATTTGTAAATCTATTTGCATTCAACAAATTGATTATAGGCATCACAACATCACTCCACAAATGCATTCACAAAGCTACACGGGTCTCACCGGATCACACTGGATAGAATTAGACAGATCAAGATAATAAAAAAACGGTGAGAAACCAACCAACAACAGCCGAACAATAACATAGGAAATCTATGACCGCGCTGAATAAACGGAAGCAAAATAGCAAGTGAAGAGGAGCATCACAGCCAACAAACAAGCGTACGTGGAGCACCCAGAAACCAGAGCAGATGAAGCCGTAGCTGCAAGAAACACGAAACAATTATACGAAACGACAAACAAACTGGCAGGAAAATATAGTAAACCAGGGTGAACGGTAAAGAACAAAGTATTCAAGTCAATCAATGAGATTGAAGATCAGAGGAATATATGGGTGGAATACTTCAAGCAAGTCTTGAATAGACCAGGTTTGTTGAGTCCACCGGAGATCGAAGCAGCACACACTGACTTTCTTATATATGTCACTCTTGCTAATGAAACAAACACCTCTGAACTGTTTGCATTTCGGAATATGATATAGTTATTCGGGAATTCTGTCCAATTCACCGCACTGAATACAACAACACACCACGTTCTATCATCATTTCTCTAACAACCGATAACATTTTCAAAGTAGAATTGATTACTCCTTCTTCAATTTCAGTGTAAACAACGTGTGCTTTTTCTTAACAAACATATTTCTGTTGACCTCTTTTATTTATAGAAACACTAATGATCATACTTTGTTGTCAATTATCACCTCATTCCATCTCATAATGAGATCATATGGTATTGTCTATACTCTATTCTGTTTAGTGGATGTAATATAAATCTGAGTTAGAATGAAATATTTCGCTTCGTAATAATCTGTTCATGTGACTGACAAAATGATTAGAATTCTGACATTATAGAAGATTACTACTTCTCTTAAGGAAAATCAATTGAAACCAATCACTGTTGTGGTATTTATAAAACTCTGGGGTCCAATCTTCATGACTTTTCATTCGCTTTGGTACCTGTAGTTGTATATTGTTCAACTGTGTATCATAGATTTACATAATTGTACGGTAACATTGCAGCTGGTCAAACACTGGTAACAGACATATATATATGTATCACATTGTATTTTAGCTGTAGTTAAATTTATAGAAACGGACTACTGATTACATCTCCTATCTCAGTGGAACGATCGCCGTTCACTCGTTCATTTATTTTCGATTCAGCAAGTGTCTTCACCAAACAGGACTATGTGAGCTGCATATTGTGAGTCGACAAGTGGAATTCTTGGAAGGAGATGAATACCCGAGAATTCAGTCGACGAGAATGTTATTTCCATCAGTAGACCTATGATGAAGTTAAACAGAAATGGAAAAAGTGGACAGTCTTGACGGATTCCACTTGAGGTTGCAAAATCAGATGACAGTTCGCCATAATCTCCTACTCGACTAGTAGTGTTCGAGTAAAGAGCTTTCACAAAGTTTATGTACTTCTGATATGAGCCTTTCAATGACAGATACTGTCACAGCACCTCTCGATCCACGGAGTCAAATGCTGCTTTTTAATCAAGAAAAACTATCATCCGTATGCATTCATATATATATATATACCACTCTAATCCTTAGAAAATTGATCCATTTTACAGACAATGAAATGAAAATTTCTTTCAGGTGATTTCTGATTGGCTTTCTTTGACCTTCGCCTTAGACTACTTCTGATTAGCTCTCCATATCAACATATGCAATCATATATCGATCATTATCAGTATGGGGTTGCGAAGATTTTTAGGTTTTCGATTGAGATCATCAACTGATTGATGTTAGACCATCACCAGCAACACTGGACGGCCGTCCAGTGCTTCCAGGTTTTCAATGAACTTCTAACATCAATTGGTTCATGATCTCAATCAGCATAAATAGATAATTTCTCTTCACAGACTGTCAATTCGAAGGATTGATCTAACTTGAAATGAATGAGGAGACTGCTTGTTTTTGACTAACATTTCTAATGAAATGCCATTCTACGCGGGGTTCACTTTTCCATACCCTAGTCACTACACAATCATTCTATTCTAGACATCGATTTCTCCACTTATACTATTCATTGTGACTTTATGAGCCGCTTGTTATCAGGTAATCTATTCGCCAATCAAAATACGACTTATTCACGCTTATGCTGTACTGAATTAATGACATCCGACCGGTCTAATCAGCCTAGCGGCCTAATGTTTCGTTGCTCAGCAAGCCCATCCACTTGAGTTCGACAACAGCATCCATTATGCGAATCATGTATTTCAGACATACTGGGTTTATATACCAGACAAACAGACTGCAACGCAGCATAAAATAGAAAATAACCCTCATACACAGTAACGCCAAAATGTGTCTGTGAACGTGGGAGACGGTAATTAATAAACTCAACGTAAACTGAGAACAATATAGCATATATTAATAATCTATAGGTTTAAATGAAGCTTATTATAAGAGGAATATAGATGTCTACAGTCCATTTACCCTAAGGATATATAGATAATATTAATCGATTATTAGGTTTCAGACGCTACTCGTAATTCAATCTTCACTAGGATATAACAATTTCCATGTATAGAATATAGACCGAACAGAATATCTCATCTAACTTGTTATTCTTATGTTATCATTTTAACACATTGATACAATGAAGCATCGAATAGATGTGCTTCATAATTCATCATTCGATTTGTGTGAGGGCTTTGATACTAATTGGGTACCCAAAAACCGTAGCAGGTGATTTTCTTAGGTGGCCACACCACTAGTCAGGAGATGCAGTCCAATGATAGCCGATGATCAAAAGTTGGTCCATATGCTGTTTGTTTCCTTGAGATTCCGGAACTCATGTACACCAGTGGCTAGAAATTAGTGTTTTACATCTTCGCTAGATGGATCCTCCGTGTCCTACAACCCGGTTAAAGTGTTGGATATTCGCTTTTTCTCCTCTCCACT